TGCTGGAAGCATTCCTCAGGGAGTTTGGTCCATATTGACATGATGGCATCACACAGTTGCCGCAGATTTGTCGGCTGCACATCCATGATGCGAATCTCCCGTTCCACCACATCCCAAAGATGCTCTATTGGGTTGAGATCTGGTGACTGTGGAGGCCATTTTAGTACAGTGAACTCATTGTCATGTTCAAGAAACCAATTTGAAATGATTAGAGCTTTGTGACATGGTGGAAGTAGCCATCAGAGGATGGGTACATGGTGGCCATAAAGGGATGGACATGGTCAGAAACAATGCTCAGGTAGGCCGTGGCATTTAAACGATGCCCAATTGGCACTAAGGGGCCTAAAGTGTGCCAGGAAAACATCCCCCACACCATTACACCACCACCACCAGCCTGCACAGTGGTAACAAGGCATGATGGTTCCATGTTCTCATTCTGTTTACGCCAAATTCTGACTCTAACATCTGAATGTCTCAACAGAAATCGAGACTCATCAGACCAGGCAACATTTTTCCAGTCTTCAACTGTTCAATTTTGGTGAGCTCTTGCAAATTGTAGCCTCTTTTTCCTATTTGTAGTGGAGATGAGTGGTACCCGGTGGAGTCTTCTGCTGTTGTAGCCCATCCGCCTCAAGGTTGTGCGTGTTGTGGCTTCACAAATGCTTTGCTGCATACCTCGGTTGTAACGAGTGGTTATTTCAGTCACTGTTGCCCTTCTATCAGCTCGAACCAGTCTGGCCATTCTCCTCTGACCTGTGGCATCAACAAGGCATTTCCGCCCACAGAACTGCCGCTCACTGGATGTTTTTTCTTTTTCGGACCATTCTCTGTAAACCCTAGAGATGGTTGTGCGTGAAAATCCCAGTAGATTAGCAGTTTCTGAAATACTCAGACCAGCCCTTCTGGCACCAACAATCATGCCACGTTCAAAGTCACTCAAATCAACTTTCTTCCCCATACTGATGCTCGGTTTGAACTGCAGGAGATTGTCTTGACCATGTCTACATGCCTAAATGCACTGAGTTGCCGCCATGTGATTGGCTGCTTAGAAATTAAGTGTTAACGAGCAGTTGGACAGGTGTACCTAATAAAGTGGCCGGTGAGTGTATATGTTCAACTAAGTTAAAAGAGCAAACCACAAAGTCTATGTGATCTTTTTCAATGTAAGGAATTTTACGACAGTTTTATCGCCCACCATGAAAATAGTAAGTCTCCTCAATCATTCATTTCCACTAGGGATGCACGATATAGGATTTTGGCCGATATTCGATATGCCGATATTTTCAGACTAATTTTGCCCGATGCCGATACCGATATATTTGTGTTTTTTATATTAATTTGTATTTTATATTAATTTATATTTGTGCGATATATTAAGTGCAAAAAAAGCTTATTAAAGCTTCTATTAAAGTTCTCAGTCAAGAGCAGTGAGTGATTTCCTCTGTGTTTTGTTGTTTTATTAACATTAACGAGATAGTTCTCCCCAAAATTTAAATTGTCATCATTTACTCTCTCAAGTTTCTTTCTTCTGTTGAAATTATAAAAGTTATTTGGAAGAATGTGGCTAACCAAACAGTTGCTGTACTTCAGTGACTTCCATAGTATATTTAAGCACAAGAAAGAAATGAATACAGGTTTGGAACAACATTAGAGTGAGTAAATAATGACAGAATTTTTATTTCTGGGTGCAGTAGGCCTATCTCTTTAAGGACAAGCGGCAGCATATTATTACTGTCTCTTTAAGAACTGCACGCGACGCGTCTAATATACACGCATTTGACAAGCAGATTTTCTCTGTTTGCTTTCACTTTAGACATAACCAACTTTGTTTATGTAAACCGTGTGTGTATTTGACAGTATCAGCGCAATAAGACTCGAAAGATTAGTCCAGTATGCAGGCGCTGTGACAGGCTTTTAGTTCCTGTGAGCGTCGGGTGTACGCGCTCAGAAAAGCGGATGTTAGAACAGCGCATCAGCACGTGAATGATATGTTTACCTAGCAAGACTTTGACGCACATGCAAATAATGAACTTTTGTGAATTGCGGTGTCCCGTGACCGTGAGTGTAACTCTACCTCTGCGTTTACATGTGATGTGATGTGAATGTACGGCGCGTTGTACAGTACGTTGAGATGAAGGCGCCAGAATTGAACTGATAGAATGCACAATACTATGATTTTTCTTCAAAAGCAGATCGTGGAGACATTTTAATCGTCCACGATCAAAAACCGTGAGACGCACACCCCTAGTTGGAAGTTTAAGTTGCTGGCGCTCATGCTTCGTTCGCGTCACGTGCGCATAGGAAACACCCCACCCTATCAAGGCTCATCGGCAGAAATATTCATATCGGCCGATGCCGATGATGGTCATTTTAAGCTTTTATCGGCCGATACCGATGTTGTCCCGATATCATCGTGCATCCCTAATTTCCACAAACGGTGTGGGACAACAAACATGCCAAAGTTTAATATATTGGGTTCAACATTCCTACCACAAAGTATGAAAAATAGTAAGTGTGACACTTGCCTTAGCAAAACTTTAAAATCCCTCAATTTAAAAGGCAGGACCAATCTAAGTGTGTAATAAAGCAAGAATCAGTAATTGGGTTCACACACCCGAAGGATACTGACAATCAAAGAAAACTACCTGTTTCAGGTAGAGTGAAATGTTATGATATGATATCATGTTATGATAATCTATAATTATTTTCATTAACCCAAACTTTTATCCCCAGGGCATCTCTCTCCTTTTAAGCAAACTCGTAGTAATACAGTGCTTGTCTATTGATTCATTGCTGGCTGACAGGGGCATTTGGTAGTTCTTCTAAAGAGTATCCCTGTGGCATCAGACCCATCAGACCTGAGGTTGTCCTGGCAGCATCCAATCTCTGGGTTCTTAAAAATAAATAAATAAACGACTCGCATCATTGATTTCCTCAAATCAGGTTTGGTTTTGAATAATGCAAAAGTACCCTCCAGACAGTGGGATACAATAAAATATTTATCGTCTATATATATATATACTTTCCATAGTGTTGGTTAGGGTAAACGGTCATCTTGTTAGAGTTTATGCACCTTTTTAGCATTAGCGTTTCCCATGATGCTCTTCTAACCATGTCAAGATTAGCAAAGGCAAGTGTGTCCTTTTAAATCAGAATATGACTTGCATGCCAGATGTACAGAAATGTAATGTTCTATTCCCATGCATTATTTACATAATTTACATTTATTTTTTATACATTTATTTTAATTCCCTTTAAATTATGTAAAGATGTTATTACCATTTGAGCAATTTAATCTACAGGCTTTTCCCAGTAAATATTGACAAGTGCGATACCTTAACTGGCATAACATTTATTCAACTAAAATCTTTAATCAATAGACAGTACTTAGAGAAATGTCTAACTAAAGATCTATTTTATTGCCTATTTTATCACATTTTATCCTATTTGACATCACAATGAAAGGTGAATCCAGAACGGTCACTTAAAATTCAACAGTTTGACTTCATTAAGAGACACATCTCTGCCTTAGTCTTAGTTCGCATTTAGCCCTTATCAAGTTCTCTAGTACTGTACATATTAAGCATACGCAAGTATTCAATTCCCTGTCAGTTCTGACATTCTGTTGGTATGCCTCCCACAAATATCATGCACAAAAAGCAACCTAATTTTCCCAGCCCCTGTAAAAGTTCTGGCTTGGTAATGAAACATCTGAGACAGAAAGGAACATATTAATGCAAAATATTCACCATAACATATAATACAGGGAGAAAAAAGGCAATTACTTTTGAAGTCAGTACATTTTCTCCTAGATATACGCCTAACAAACGACTTACAAATAATCTGCATTTTTCAGAGATGGCGTGTTAAACGAGACATGCTCATACTCTCGCAGTGAGGGTTGGGGGAGGGGAAAAAAGACATGCTGTCACATTAATTACCTTTCTACGTTAAAAGAAAACGGTAATGAATTTCCTTCCCTATCCCAGAGTGTGTCTCGCGCTAGCGGTCAGTGATTCATTCTCTGCCTCACTCTTTCTCATTAAGCTGAGGGAGGCGGCGCATTCTCGGCCCGAGCTGGAAGACTCGGTTCAATTACACCTGCTGCTGGGCCCTGCTACGCCAGCTAATGGGACTCAGCTTGGCTCCTGTCAGCCTCAGCGCTGGCCGGCAAAAATCTTCATTTAACTCATCAAACAGGCCTTGCACTGCGTTGGACCCAGACCAGCTTTCTCTTTTTTTTCCTCTTCCTTCACTTCTTCTTCCTTTTTCCCTGTTTTATTTGGATTTCCCCATATATCAAATCTCCCTCCCCTTCTCCTCTTTCACATTCTTGCATTAAGAAGCTCTATCACAAAGGCAGGGACTCCAAAAACACAATTAATACATGGGCTTGGCCCCTGCTGTGCTGTTGAGCCAAAATTGCTGTCATTTCCCTCTTTTCACTCCTTTTTGAATTGAACTTGTTAAATTGTATTTACTTGTATGGTTCTTTTCATTGAGTTTCCTGAAAGTGGCTTATCTCAAGCACCAGGAGTTTTCCCCCCTTCTTTAAATTGCAACAGCAGCCTCTCTACAGAATCCCAAATTGGCAGAGTGGCCACACAAATGGCAAAATTAAATGTTTTGCTCATCTAAAAATACAGAAAGGGTGTGGAAAAACACATTGGTTGTGTTGGACAGCTGGGCAGGACCTAGACCAGGGGTAGACAAGTTCGGTCCTAGAGAGCCGCTGTCCTGCAGAGTTTGGCTCCAACACTGAAAAAAACCTCTCCTGCCTATAGCCTTAGTAATCCTGAAGACATTGATTAGCTTGTTCAGGTGTGTTTGATTAGGGTTGGAACTAAATTCTGCAGGACAGCGGCTCTCTAGGACCGAACTTGCCTACCCCTGACCTAGACAGTCTGTGATGACTTAGATGAGTGTATAAAGAAACCAATCCATGGCATAGAAAACAGAAGTGGACCAAAGACAGAACCCTGAGGGACACCTTAACTCACCTGGAGGCCTGTGGAGTCCTGGGAAGACCAAGAGGAGGAATTTTGGGAAGAGCAGATGTCCGGAAGCTTTCTGGAATCACAGGAGAAGTGGCCATATCCTTCTTGGTAATAGAGATCTCTGCAGGGAGAAAATTAGAGATACTTGAAATGATGTAATGCAAATTTCCCATTAAGAAGGTAAAGTAAAAAGCAGAAAGGAATAACTTATTGAGCATAATTTCTTGTTAACGTACCTTGTGAAAGCTTGGGTGTAGGTTGCTTAATACTTGTTTGTTCCTGTGACTGTAGGTTACTCAACGGTTGTTGAACACATCTCTGCAGAATGTGTGACTCTCGCTCTTTTATTTCACTGCTGAATAAGAAAGAGAGAGAAAGATACTATTCTACACCATTTAAAAGTTGGAGTTTCTTACCACGACTGCATTTATTTGACCAAAAATAAAGTAAAAACTGTAATAATATCTCATAATATTACTATGTAATCTTTTCTATTTTAAAGGTGCAGTGTGTGATTTTTAGCGGCATCTAGTGGTGAGGTTACGAATTGCAACCATCAAGTTATAGCAGGGTTCCTGCACACTTTTGAAAGTCAAATTTAAGGCTTTTTAAGACCTTTTTAAGACCTGAAGAAATCAAAATTAATACCGTACATTAGGGCTGTGCAGTATTGACAAAAATATATATTGATATTTTCAACGTTTTGTTGATAATAATTAGATGATATTTTACTGATTGTGTTTTTGTGCTGGTGCCATGGCTGGTTTAGGTCTGTTGACAGCTGACTCACGAAGATATTCATATTTTTCATATTCTATGCAGTGGTCAGTTCACAGCAGTGACAGAAATCAATATTTTAATTAAGGGGCAATATTTGCCACCTCAAATTGATTTTTTCAGGGGCATTTTCACCTATATATGGACATTTTTTCTAAACTTATTTAGAGTTATGCATCACCTTTAATGTCAAATACTATCATTCAAATTAAATTATACAGTAATTATACAATAATACTTAATTATATAATAATCATACAGTACCACTGTTACCAGTCAAATTAAATCATTCAATCAAAATCCATCTTTGCAGTGCAGAGGTGACAGAAGCGGCATCAGAAGTGGCATTAATTTATTTACACTCCATTTACAACTGCATAAATAAAGCTATGAGATATATATTTTTAAATCAATATTCAATATTTAAATATGATATGATTTCTAATTTTAACATTTTATTTAAAGGGTACTTTAAATATGAAACCGCAGCGGCAAATCACTGTCTTAAGTGAGTTGAGGGAGTCATTCATTCAACCGATTCGTTCAAACGGCTGATTCATTCGGGAAAGAAGCAAGTGATTCGTTCAAAACGCGGATTTCAGTCAAGAAATAATCGCTGTCGGTTGCATTGAGACTCAGTGCTACGGTTTCATTTTGAAATTATAGTCGGCGAAATAAAGGGCAAACAAACAATATTGACAATATTGTGTCTAAAAAGTAACTCAATGTTAACTTATTGTTAATTTAACTGTTGTATAACATAAATATCACAATTGGAATTGTGCACGGGAAAACGGCACTCTTTCTGATGTGATATTCTAATATAAGAACATAATATGATATAAATATAAGACAAAAACTAACTTGGGGACATAACAGTTACACTGCACACATCACGCAGTGAAAGCACGAGAGACAAATGCGATGTCAGCTCGCAGTGCCTCGTACATTGTTAAAACAATGATTACAATATCATAAAAGACAATACACATCGCACACCATACGCACATAAAGAATGAACTTACAACTGAACTGACATTTACGACCTTTCTTCTCCTTCTCTCCTCTCGCGTGCAGGAGACAGTTATGCTGCCGCGACTCGCGAGTGACGCGAAATGTCACGTGAACTAGCAAATCCACAAAGATAGAATAATAAATAAATAAAAATACATACGCTAATTAGATGGTTTTAATTTGGAAAGCTTTTAGATATGTCTAAGTCAAAGTGTCATCTAAAATTTAAGACCTTTCATAAGTAAAAATAAGACTTAAGACTTTTTATGGCCTTAAATTTTAAAAATCTAATTTAAGACTTTTTAAGACTTTTTAAGGATCCGCGGGAACCCTGTATAGTGGCCGACAGGAGATGATGTCGTCGTCTGAGACAGCAGAGAGTAGCCAGTTAAGCAATGAGGTTTCTTTACAAAGATAAATTAAGAAATTATGTTTACTTTATTATTCAGTAAAACGATATGTTATTGCGAATATTATTGTTACTGGTTCATCATTGTGTCAGTGTTTTATTCGCTGACTTTAGCTAGCTTCTTTGCACGAAGAACAACATAGTGACGAAACGCGTTTGTCCGTTTAGGGCCACTGTAGAAACATGTCGGCACAAAATGGTGCATTTCAACGTAAGGGGACCCGCGGTGTATTTTGAAGGAAATGGCTCATTCTAAGGTAATAAAAACATAACGGTTCATTAAGTAAGGTCTTTATACACCACTGAAAACATAGTTATGTATATTATATTGCATTTCAGTCTACAGATCCTCCTAAATATTACACAATGCACCTTTAAAATATTTAATACTTGTTATGGCAAAGCTGAAATTTTAGCAGTCATTATTACAGTCATCAGTGTCACATGATCCTTCAGAAATCCATGTAATATGCTGAATTGGTGCAGTTGTGCTGCTTCATATTTTTGTGAAAACTGTAATACATTTTCTTTGATGAAAATTATTCTTTCAAAAACAAATCTCAATAACCCCAATCTTTTGAATAGGGAACTTTTGTATATTTAAAGATTTGTACTTTTGACTTCTTCTTTATCTCTCCGGCTCTTTTTTGCATTCAATGCTATTTTTAAGACAATCTTTACCTGCGTGTTACCTGATCCATAACAAAACAGGACTGTGGACCTTCATTAAAACTGCGGTCTCCATTTAAGGGCTTCTCAAAATCTGTTGTGGTTGCTTGCTGAAGCCTTCAAACGACAAAAATTAAAATAATGTTTGCGGTTCAATTCAAGTTAGTTATTAACAGAATTTGTAGCATAATGTTGATTAGCAGTAGCACCAAAAATAGCAGGACTTGTCTCTGTTTTTTAATGAGACAAAAATCATGATTATTGTACAGTGAACTAGAACAATTTCTAGGTGCATGAACTTCTGTGTATGCATTATTAGTTATTAGGGATGCAAATTATCGATTAATTCATTAATCGTTAGTTGATCGACCTTATCGATCGATTAATGATTAACTGATAAGCGGCTATTTTCCTGAGAATCTAAATTTCTCACGGTATCAATAGTGTCTTTAACATTAAAAGCAAAATATTGCTTATATAGGCTACTGAATAAAAATGCATGTTATATTGCTCAATTGATGTTTTATTGTAACAGTTGGGATACGGTACAGATGGCATTTATGTAGTTTAACAAAATTAATTATGCACAGAAAATTAAAATACAGAAAAAATAATTGTGCACTGGCTCACCTGTTGCATGTGTAACATTAAGCAACATAAAATACATTTTAAATAAAAATCTATAAGGGTAGGCTTAGCCTACACTATATTAAGCCTACATATAATAATCTATCTGGTAAACTACGTATATGACAAACTTGAAACATTAGCAGCAGCACTTATAATCCCCCTTGGTCTGAGAAAGGTAAAAGTAAAATTACTAGACCTGGAAACTTCAAATATAGAACTGAACACAACTTAAATCATCCCTGAGGAAGGTTACAGTAAAATAAGAGGGCAGAGTTTCCCATACGTTCATTTATTTGTAGCGGCCCGCCACAATATCAACGCTGATCGCCACACATTGATTTTTTTTTTTTTACTAAGCCTATTTAAAATCGTATTTGATTGCAGAGCGCCGTAGCGCATTCGCGCAGCACTACCTCTCGCGCTCTCACTCACCCGTACCTCTCGCGCTCTCTCTCCCTCATGGAACACCGCTGCACAAATCTGTCCAACACAGCGCTGTTAATGACCCAGCTTTAAAAAAAGTTATTAGCCAGCATGCAAGGAGTCTAGCTAATAAGGAGAGCTAAGTTATTGTTAGATTACAGCTGGATTTTCGAGGTTAGCATGCTGTATAGCTGGTAGTCCACTCCGTTTTGACCGCCTCATGTTTGGTTTCTTTTTTGCCGCCTCAAGTTTGTGCCGGGTCTCTCGCGTGAGAATCTCGTCTCACGTTCACAATGTTCAATTAGCCGACAATGAATTTAATTTAATCGAGTAAATTTGTCGACAATTAATCGATAATCGATTAACCGTTTACATCCCTATTAGTTATGTATTATTATCTACTGTTTAAACAAAAGGCCTGTGCCAGGCTCTTACCTGCTGTACTGAAGGTAAGACTGACGGAGTTGCTGGTTCTGGAGCAGAAGTTTCTCTTCCTGTTGAACCAACCGAGCTTGAATTCTCTCCCTCTCCATCTCCAGCTGTTTCTTCTGCAGGAATAGACACTGTCGTTTCTCCTCCCAGTTCTCCTGACCAGGAGGCGGAGCAAGTCCGGTTCGATTAGCACCACGCATGTTGTCACTCTCCATTCTGTGGCACTGATGAGAGCACTTGAGTTCAGAGGCACCAGGCCGCTTCAGGGCATCACAGGCCGAGGGCTCCCTGTTGGAGAAGCTGGGATCACTATGTCCACCTTCAGAATTGTGATTGGTGTGCTCGTCATGGACTCCACAGTTCTGCTCGTTGCTGGAGGGTGCACTAAAAGGTCCTGTTGAGAAAGAATGAGTGCCCTCCACTGACCCACCTCTCTCAGTTCTACTTCCTGATAAAGGAAGGTCCAAGTAAGATCCATCTAAAGCAGTTCCTCTCCCACACGAAGACCTCCTGGGCACCCCTTCGCTGCTAGGAATCTGTGGGATGAAGCAGAGGTAGAGAAAGTATACATGTCACCTCTGACCTTTTAATAATGTAGTAACGAAAGCAGGTTTTACTCAAGGGAGTCAGAGAGGGTGGGCTCATCCCAAGAGGACGCAACAACCCAAGGTCAATCACCGAAGAGATAAACATTCAGGACAAAGGAGAATCGTCCGCCTCTGAGGGGACAGAAATGGGCCACTGACTAATTCAAGATGAGGTCGTGGAGCATGTAAACATGCATTACTCACAGCCAAGGTTTCAGAGAGGACAAGCTCATTTCCCTTATACAAGCTTAAGATGGAGGGTGCACAGGGAGCACGTTCTAAACTAAAACAACGTACAAGTTTTACAGTGTCGGTTAGTGAGTTTTATTTTGTTTTAGCTTTAATATTTTTAGTGACAGTGCTTTAAAGGGGATGAATTTAAAGATGGAACTTCTCTGAGAGGGTTTTAGTGTGCTGACTGGTTAACAGTTATAGATGCTAAAGTGTCAACATGCCAAAACCCCTCTCTGAGAGGCTGCTTCTCTAAATCCATCCTCTTTAAAAGCACCGCCGATAGAGCCATCAAAACAGAGCTTTTGTAACAAATTTACCTTCACCTTCACCACATTTCAAGGCAATAACTGTTGGACTTCAAATTGCCTGCTGTGAGCAACGTTACTATTATTATGAATAAATTTAAGATCTATGATCATTTTGAGCAACAAAAAAGAGGTCGATATTAAGTTTTTTTATTTGTTGAATCATATGTTAGTTACGCTGTTCAGACCGGATGTGTCACTGGTGGTCATGAAAGATTTACGAGAGGTCATAAAAGTGGTCAGCAGGTTGAAATAAATAAATACACCATATTTGAATAGTGGTTCTAACTAAGGGTTCTTTTCATATCACTAAATACTTGGGGGTTTCCCCCAGGTATGGGGTGTTTGTTATTCAGAATCATACAGTGCAGTTATTTTGGATGCAATTCATTTATAAATTCTTTCTAAAGTTCTTTTTATTTTTTTATGAAAATTGAGAATTGGTATGAATAGTTACGTTGCAACAACTGTTCCAACTGTGTGTTAAAATTCACATAATAAAGTCACATTTACCTGCGCTTCAATATATCATTTTTCAGGGCTCATTTTTTTTCTATTGGCCCAGTCAGACCAGTTCAGATTTTTACTTGCCCTGTCAAAATGCCAAAAAAGTTCTTGCTTTCGTTGTTTTTGACCCATGTAACCTTGCAAACAGTGCTTTAATATTTTTAGGGAGGTCTAACAGTATGGATATATACAGAAATTGAATAAAGTTATTAAACACTTCATATTCTTCACGGCATAAATTATAAATTAAATATAGATTAATCCTTATTAAAGATACAAATGTTATTCAGTCAAGAGCAGTAATTTTCTCTTTTTATTTTGTTCTTTGACTATCCATAATGACAGCGGGTTTATTAGGCTGCTGTCACTTTAATACATTCTGCACGGCGCGGATCAGACACGCATCCCATTTTCTCACTCCTTACGTTTATTTAAGACTTCATTTATATAATTTAAGACTGTGCTGGCGAGGATACTCGACAAAATGGACATTTTGCGTTAATATATTTTTAACGTGTTAAACCGAAAAAAATAATTGCATGCGTTAACGCGTAAAAAAATACATACGTACATACATATTCTGCCACACCAATGAATTCTGCCACACCAATGAATTCAGCTGATGTCCAAACAACTTCAGATTGATAATATTAAACTGTGGCATTCATTTTTCCTTGTCAAATATTCTTTCATTTCAAAATGTCATATTACAGAAGTAAAATGAATTATGAATGCCATTTCATGTTTCGTGCAACCTTGGTGGTCTTATCTCTCTCTTTGACCATGTTCAAGACAGAGGGACAAATACAGGAAAAAAAAAATCTGTAGCTGGGAAAATGACACAACTGGCCAAGCACAATCTAATCTAGGGAATTACTGCTGGACTTCCAAACGCCTGCGGTGAGCAAAGTTATCGTCATGTATTCAAGGTCAGTCTTAAACATCGAAATAAATATATATAAAGTCATTCTAGATAAAAGAATCTTACAAATGTGTAATCGAAATAACATAAATTCGCCCAATATTTTCTTTTTAAGGAAAATAGAACATTTGCTGGGTTTGCATTCAAAATCTCAAAATGGCCAAATATCAGCCAATAAATTGGTTGGTCTGCCAGGTTATAAAGATAGCGGGCTATACAAATGAATTTCTACCTGCTATGGTTATACAATGCTGTGACTGATCAGCTAAAATTCCAACATAGCATAGAGGATACAAATTCAGTGCACGCACATGTTCAGTCTGAGCCATTTGTGGCCTCTATCTATCGCTCTCTCCCACACACAGACACTCTTAGTACTCACCTTGCTGTGGGAGCAGGACTGATTGAGCAGTGTGATAGACTTGTTGAGTTTCTCTTGCTGTTGGGAGAGGTACTGCTGATAGAGTCCCAGCAGCTCCTGACACTCTCGGTACTGGTGCTGCAGGCCTGTGCCGTGGGTCAAGGGTCAACACGCACTGAATAACTCTGCCACTGTTCCCACTTAGACTAAAACCCTCTCTCCTCCCAAGCCAAACATGGTAATCCATTTCCCCCAATGTAGTGTTGCCAAGCTAATGCTGAGCAGGCAGGAGACTTTATACAGAAGGTACAAAAGGAAAGAACCTCCCTCAAGGTAGTGCCCCAAAGGTAATTAGTAACTGTAAAATCAGCTGTATGTCAAGGTAAACACTCAAATATATTTTGAAATGCCCAAAGCCGATATCATCAAGCTTGAGAGGTAAAACAAATAACATTTCAAGATTGGTCAAGGTCAGTGATACAAGTTGACAAGGGTGATTAAAAAAAAAACCCACCAGTTTATCGTTTTGAGGAAGTTGGTGTTTCCCCTAAGATTTGAGGTGGTATTTTTATTATTCGGATGGCTAGGCAAATTCGTTTCGATGAAATTAATTTATAATGTTTTTCAGAACAGTATCAGTAACAAGCAACACTGAATATGGTATAAACCAAGGGTCATAATCAAAGGTTATAATTAGGATGTTTTTTTAGAGAATGCCAAAATCTAAATCTGTATCATGCCGTTTTATTGAAAAAAAGAGTTCAAAATAAAATTAAATAAAATACAACCAAAGTCCCTTTAAGACAGGTCATTTCACTCGGTGGCCATCTTTGAAACGCCTCTCAGGCTTGCAAATACAGCTCCTATCTCTTTGAATGAGGAAACATCAAATTTTCCAAAACAGTTCGCCAATCTTACGATTAAATTTCATATTTGAAATCACCACTGGCTCTGACAACTGTCTCATATTTAGTTTCTAAACGTTTGAATCATGACAGAAAACACCGTCAGACTGTTTCTATAGGAACCGGAGCTTCTAACAGCAGCTGCAATGACGCGATGACTTTACAAATCAGTGATTAGCTCTTATTTAGTGGGCGGGACTTACTCCACTATATTGAGCATTGCACTTTTCCCCATTCAAAACAATACGAGTGACGCATCTTGTGTTATTCTATAGTCTTTGATACAACTGGCCAGGTACAATTTAAACATTCTAAAATAAAAATTCAACTGAATAAGTTTAGGTATAACAGGAAAAGCTACAAGAAGAACTTGAAATATTTAAAACAAATTCTCCCACAGAGAGCTCAGTTGTCCAGTGTCCTTATATCAAAAAGAGGAGACCAGTTGGACTTCTACTCTGGCTCCTGACATTTGAGTCTCTCTGGCTGAATCCCAGCCGCCAATACCTGGAGTCATGTTTGTGACTTTTTGAAAAAGTGCACAGACAGAGAAGAAAGCAAGAAGAGACAGCAGCACTGCAGAGAAGAGATAGAAGCGTTTCTTCGGGGTGAGGGCTTCACACACTCCTCCATCTGGGTCTGTCTGGGCAGGGGCGGGCACAATGCCAGGCTGAGAGACAGAGAGCTGGCACGTATGCAGCATTGGGCAGAACTCAACTGATCTGGAGCAGAACCACAGCCACGCCGACTGCGCCGACTAATGACAGTGTGACGTACGCCCTCTTACTCTCACACGCTTTGCAGGAATCCATTCGGTAGATCTAATTTTCCAACGTGGAAAGCAATAATGGAAAGCGACTTTTTTTGGTCTTTCTTAATAATCAGCCTGGCTGTAGAGCACAAGCGCTCAGCGATCATCATAATACCTCAAGGCCCATGAACTCGAAAGGGGCAACACAGATCAAACCCACTGAAAGTTAGAACGATATAGAGATTATTTATAGTCCTCATATCTCCGTTATTACAATGTCAATAAGCACTAAATCCAGGCTCTGCTCAACAGCCTCTCAATCCAATACCCATAAGATAAGCATGGTAAATCTTACCTAAAAACAAAGTCTAGTATTAAAATCTCCAGAATACTGCACAATAGAAAAAGGAAGAGGAATTTCATAAATACAAAAATAACCCACAAGGCCATGGATTTGTGATTGTTACCTTAGTAAAGGCAAGGTGAAGTGGTATAATCACACTGGCTTATTGGTATAAGAACGAACCAGGACACCAGTGTTCAATAAATAATTAAAGTAATACAGTATTTGTAAATAACTTCTTTACAGTTGCCAAGCAATATGGTGCATTAAAGAAGAATTCACCCAAAAACAAAAACTCTGTCATCCTTTACTCACCCATGTTATTCCAGACCTGTATGACTGACTTTCTTCTGCAGAACATAAAATGAATTGCCCATATAATGAAACTCAATGGGGTCCAGTGTTGTCTTGAAATATCCTCTCTTGCATTTCACAGAAGTCAGTCAGTTAAACAGGTCATAGAGGACAGATCAATTATTCAATTTGTTGCGTTGCACGTTATAGCTCGCATCTTAAAGTGGTAACGTTTTGCTTGATTACAAACAACATTCAGTATTCACGCATAATATAAGTTTATGATATAAAAAAATGAATACACTATACACTAATACAGTGCTGTCAGTTTGAATGAGAAGCAGGCCTGTAATTACAATTAGCCATACAATTACTACAAATTACTAACTTTGTGTTAATGCTCAGTTTCAGATTTATTAAATATATCAGACTATTAGAAAAACTAAAGTTAAGAACCAAGAGAGTGAGTGGTTCTAATGTTCCCCAATTACCACCAGTTTAATTTGGTGATTAGAAATGTAATATAAAGGCCTATGATAAATCAAATTTGCAAATTCCATCTGCTACCATTTGGTTTACCCCAATATTATTTTTTAAAGCAGATTTTTTTTTTTTTTTTTTTTTTTTTTTTTGATTCTGGACTGTATCAGATCAAACGAACATACAATTCCAGGATAATAATAAAGCAGCACAACATTGATAATAATAAGACATGTTTCTTGATCACCAAATCAACATTAGAATGATTTCTGAAGGATCATGTGACACTGAAGAATGCAGTAATGATGCTGAAAATTCAGCTTTGCCGTCAGAGGAATAAATTACATTTTAAAATATATTCAAATAGAAACCGTCTTTACTGTTCAAATATTTGATTAAATAAATGCAGCCTCGTTGAGCTTTTTTTGAAAACCTTTTTTTAAATGTTTAAATTGTAGTGTACCACACACAACCCTCGCAAACAGGAGTTTGACATCCTTGTTCTGCATGCACAGGTCGCAAAAAGAAAGCGGAACCACAAACTGACGGTTGATTCCTTGTTAAGAACGTGGGTGAAAATATCTTACCTAAATCCATCAGGTTATTATAGCTCATTCAAGATCATCAGTCAACATCTGACTGTCTAAAATGAGAGGATACAAAGGCATATCAAATCCTGAGGTGCCAACATACAATGTCCTTTATGACAGCTGCATGTCAAACCTCTGTATAATAGCAGGTATGAAATGAGTAACTGTTCAACAAGGACCCTTACCATAAATAGGCCTCTCATTTGTAATGAGAACGAAGAGCCTGTCTCGTAGATAGAGTGCATCGCACGCAGGCATCTACCTCGCAGCTGACGAGAGGCTTCTGATACTCTGATAGACAGGTTGGGCGTAAACACACATATTAATACATTAACAGAAGGGCGTGCGGGAACGCTCAGCGCTTGGTAATCTGGAGCGACTGGAGCGGGACTGATAAGATTCTCTCTCGCTTCCCGCCGCGCAGGCACCTCTGTTGGCTGTCGGCCAATCAGAGCTCATTCCAAGGGCCTACATCAGGAGAAAAGAAAGCTGCAGGCACGGTGTGTCTCCACCCCCATCCAAAAATACACAAAATCAGAGTTTGCATTCGATATTTCAGACAGGCGCTGTCAACATGATTCACTCCCCTGTCAGCCCGGCGCAGAAATAAAATAATGAAATCCACCTCGAGGTAGAACAAAATTGCGCCGAAGAGAATATTTTACGGGGCCACTCGGCAGGATGGTCTGCGTGTGTTAGGTTGAGATGTAAATCGATAGGAGGACAGTTCACACAACCGCACGCTTCGATTTGAATAACAGTGAAAATGACTCACCAAGCCACTGATGATTTGATTATTTATATATCATGGGGCTTCATTTGCTGCGAGCATGTGGTTTATTACTTCCAATTATTAGTGTGTCTACAAAACTAATTGGTCATAAACAATATGCAAGCAGTGGGTTTGTGATTAAGTGGCATTTCTGTGAGGGCTTATGCCCCACCTAAGCTCATCCAGCCAGGATGCACGGATTCAGAACTAGTCAAACAAACTATTACAAAAGGACTTCTGCTCCTCTGATCCATCCGAAGCGTTCGGAAAAGCGACCATGCAAACTTCAATAAGATTAATATTATTGATGAATGCATTCAACTTCTCCTTTGTGTCTTCCATGCTTCTTGATGTAAATGCCTTGTGAAGAACAAAGATTGCGAGCTTCTCTGTAATAGAATCTACCGCTCAGAGACGTGGTGTAGAATGCCAAAGACAGGCTTGAGAAAATTCTAATTTCATTCCGTACACGGGCTTCAAATTCTTCCTACGCACAGAATGTAACTTATAATTTTTCTCCCCCTCCTACGGAGATATTTCCTCTTGATAATCGCGATCCCGGCAGATGAGATGGAGACAATGCGAGCAATTATTCTACACAGAGCCTCATGACTCAGTTTGTCTTTTTGCGTCCCCCTTAACCTTTAAGACCAGCTCTGTGGGCCATCATCTGTCTGATACCTTTAGAGACCGCCCTGTCTCCACAGGGGGCTTTCATACAGTTTGTCTTGCACTACAATCTCTTTTTAATGGAGTTTTGAATTTTAGTGGAAATGCCAGGCCGCGGAGCCAAAGTGCATTTAATTGAGTTGAGCTCGCCTAATTTCTGAGCTCGCCTGCCAAATCCGCAATTTAGCAGCCTGCGATTGCTCTTCGTATTTCACAGTGTTGGACGAAACGGATGGTTCGCCATGTCTTTTGACCAAAGCAAGATCACCGAAGCTGGCAGAGCGGCAAGGAAAAAAAAGGGAGCATCCGAACTGTGCGAAGTTTGTGATGTGCCAGTCGGAT